ATTTCATTGGTTCTCTAACCAATCTAAGAAACCTCAGTCTCTTCGACGGTAATTTGATTGGTCCAATTCCAAGTTCGTTTGGAAACCTCACGCAATTGCAAAATCTCGACCTCAGAGATAATCAGCTTCAACCAGAAAATCTCAATTGGCTCCCTGCTCTTTCTTCTTTAACAGATTTGTACCTAAGCAGAAGCTTCGATGGGGGCCAAATTCCAGATTTCATTGGTTCTCTAACCAATCTAAGAAACCTCAGTCTCTTCGACGGTAATTTGATTGGTCCAATTCCAAGTTCGTTTGGAAACCTCACGCAATTGCAAAATCTCGACCTCAGAGATAATCAGCTTCAACCAGAAAATCTCAATTGGCTCCCTGCTCTTTCTTCTTTAACGTATTTGGACCTAAGCGAAGCCAATCTCAGTACTGTTTTCGATTGGCCAGAAGCAGTACTTAATAAGCTCCCTAAACTAGTAGAGTTGACCTTGGTGAATTGTAGTCTTCCTCCTCCTTCTACTCCAATTCTTTCCACTACTCTTTACAAAACAAATTCTTCTACATCTCTTGCGTACGTTTCTCTCTCTGACAACCATCTCACTTCTTCAATATTTCTTTGGTTGTCCAACTACAGTACAAGCCTTGTTACTCTTGACCTCTCCATCAATAATCTAACTGGTTTCATTCCCGATTTCATTGGAAACATGAGCTCTGTTGTGAGTCTGGATCTCTCTGATAACCAGATTGAAGGAGCGAATCCAAATTCGTTTGCAAGGATGTGTAATTTGCGAACATTGTCGCTTCAAACAAATCATCTGAGTGGACAATTATCCAAGTTTGTTCAACGATTGCCTAGATGTGCTCAAAACTCATTAGAGGATTTGCGACTCTCTGAGAATGTTCTTGTGGGGTCATTAAACAATCTTACAAGCTTCTCATCTTTGAAACTCTTGTATCTTTATGCCAATCAATTAAGCGGAAAAATACCTGAAAGTATTGGGCAAATGTCGCAACTAAAGGAAATCGATTTCAGCACAAACTCTTTGGAAGGGGTGGTTTCAGAAACTCATTTCTCAAAACTCTCCAAATTAAACTCTTTAGATTTATCCTCTAACTCACTAGCTTTAAATTTCCATTCTGATTGGATTCCTCCCTTCCAGTTGAGTGACATAAATTTGGCGTCCTGCAAGGTCGGTCCTCTTTTCCCAAAATGGCTTCAAACTCAAAATAAGTCTTCCCAGCTTGATATTTCGAATGCTGGAATTTCTGATATCCTTCCAAGTTGGTTTTGGAGAAATTTTCGTCGCGCATACTTTATTAATCTCTCACAAAATGTAATCAGAGGAACATCTAAAGATTTGGCAGTGAAGATTACACAACTAGTGTTAGATCCAATGTATCCCTCAACTCGAGCACAAGCCTCACATCTGGATCTCTCTAATAATCACTTTTCAGGGTCGCTTTCTTTCCTATGCGGATCTACAGATATGAGTTTAATATATCTTAATCTTTCAAGCAATAGTTTTTCTGGAGAACTTCCAGATTGCTGGAGGGATTTGGAGACTCTAGTCATGCTTGATTTGAGTAACAACTCTTTTTCCGGAAAAATTCCCATGACAATAGGCTCTTTATTTCAAATGCAAACTTTGAAATTAAGAAGCAACCGATTTGTTGGAGAATTGCCTTCATCGTTGAAGAACTGCTCAAGTTTAGAAGTTATTGATCTGGGAGATAATAAATTATCAGGACCAATACCTACATGGTTAGGTGTGAGCTTCAAGAATTTGGTTATCCTGATGCTTTCCACTAATCACTTCAATGGAAGCATGCCATCACAATTATGCCATCTAACACACATTCAAATTATGGATTTCTCTATGAACAACATCTCTGGAAGCATACCCAAATGCCTCAACAATTTGACTACTCTAGCTCAAAAAGGAAATTCAATTCTATCCAGCACACATCCTTATACTAGATATCCACGTAGGGCTGTTTTTTTCCAAAAATATATTAATTATGAGAATGATGCAAGCTTCATATGGAAAGGAAGAATGCAGACATACAAAAGTACTTTGGCCCTTGTGAAGAGAATTGATCTCTCAAGCAATAGATTAACAGGGGAGATTCCAAGTGAAATCACTCATCTTGTTGAGTTGGTTTCTTTAAACCTTTCAAGAAACCGGTTAACAGGTCAAATAACTCCAAAGATTGGAAACTTGCAGTCATTGGATTCTCTTGATTTGTCAAGAAACCAAATAGATGGAAGAATTCCGACAAGCCTTGCTCGGATAGATCGTCTTAGTTTCTTGGACTTGTCATATAACAACTTGTCTGGCAAAATACCAACAGGCACTCAGCTCCAAAGCTTTGATCCCCTTGATTATGCTGAAAATCCTCAACTATGTGGACCTCCACTTAAAAAGATGTGTGCTGATGAAAATGAGAAAACTGACTTGAGCAATGAAGAGGATAAGGATAAGTTTATCACACTGGGATTTTACATCAGTATGGGGATTGGGTTTGTTGCGGGATTTTGGGGAGTTTGCTGCACTTTGATATTCAACAGGTCATGGAGATATGCATACTTCAAGTTCTTGAATGATTTAAATGATTGGCTTTATGTGAAGATAGCTTTGAGCAAGCGGCAACTGAAGCTAGCATATGCTTAATAGATAAGCTCGCGGCGGTACTCTTTCTCTGTCATCATTAATTTCGTTTTATAATTATTTTCTTATTGCATTTTTTCCTTTTCTCCAAACTAACGGGTATTAATTTGTTTACTTTGATATTTAGCTGCGGCATATAAATTAGGAGAAAAGTAGCTGTAGCTGTATGCGTCCTTTCAATTCAAGTGTGGAAGATTGCCAGTATGTGCACGCACAGGTATCTGGAGAAGAGTTTACAAGTTGATTTGGAGTGCTTAGTAGGGATAAATATGATTTATATTGGTGTTAATTACTTGTCAAAACAATTAATTCAGAGTTCTCCGGTTTATGTATTTTTTATTTTTTTTTGTTTATTGAGAGAAATAAACAGATCCATTCAGATCCAATCATAACAGAGGCAATTATAATTATACATGAAGAACACTGCCCCAGAGGACGGTTCTTGCAAACAATAAACCATACAAATAAGCAAGACAGTACAATTTAAGCAAGAACAGTGAGCAAAACTCCACTGATATTTTAATCCAAGCTCACTCCGATTAATGTATTAATTTCAACTATAGTGTTATTTTAATTAACTAAGCCAAAGCCAAAGCGGACTTGATTTCAAATTACAATGTGTGGCTCTGTTTTGGTCATCTATTTGCAACGTACAGCTTCTCCTTGTAAATGTGTGGCTCAGTTTTGGTCATTCTTTCGTTTCATAATTCAACATCTTGTTCTGGGCACATGGTAGAAGATGCCTTTTTGTAAACAGACTTTTTGTATTTGGTCAGGCTTGCAATGCTCTATTTTGTGGATTTTAAGATTACTTGTGAGCCGCAAAATGCCTTGTACCAAAGTTTATATATAAAATGTGTGCTAAATCTTGTGTGTGGAGAAATCACAAGCATTTTCTCTCTTTAAAATTTGTAGAAATGTTCAAGTTCTTGCCCATTACTTGCAGATATATATTGTTGTGTAGCAAAAAGGCTGCAATTCCATCAAGGCCTGCAGGCCAATCACTGCTTTCTCTTGGATATTACAAACATTTGTAGAGCCATAATGAAAACTTGGTAGGCAAACCCAAATACTCGCATTGCCATTTGCTTAAACTTGATAGGCTAGCAAGGGGCTTGTAGCTCAAGCGGTTAAGAGCATATATCCCTGCACTCGAGGTCCTAGATGTGATTTCCTCCTCCCAATATCGCTTGTAACCAAAAACAAACAAAAAACTTGATAGGCCAGACCCAGATGAACCTGGTTTTCATAAACTTGTTGGTCAGCTTGATAGTGGCTTATTAGAAGTCCAAATTTGGTTGGAAAAGTAATGTCCAATTTTAGCAGATACACACATGCTTAGACACTAACTAACCCCTCACTATTATTACAGTTATCAGCCCCAAGTTTTCTTGACACTAAAATTGTTTGTCTCTGAAAGAGGTTATAAAACTAAATGGTTTATTTATCCATACTTTTCTTGGCTTAAAGCCTGAAGCCACAGAACTGAATTTACCAGTACAAAGATATTTGATAACTGATTCTTCAACTTCTTGGGGGGGAACCCAGACCATGCTAACAAACTAGGATCAGAGAAGGGCATACATATTTGAATGCTAAAATACATCAAATATTGAATGCCTTAATACATTCAAGAATACACTGATTCTTTCATTTCCTAACAATTCATTGTCCAGAGAACAGAACAACTAATATCTCCTAAAGTAGAAATCAAGAAATAAAATAGCTTTTAAATTACACAACAGATTCTACCCCCAGCTTGCTTGCAGTAAGGAAAATAAGCAATTGATGACGCCCTTATTGCGACATTGAAGGAATTTCACGAGGATGTTAAAAAGTAATGAGGCCAAACAAATTTTGCACTCAAATGTCAAAAATTAGCTCAAGTAATTACAAGATATTCACATTAAATCCATACAGAAAAACCAAAAGCAGCTGATGACACATATCAAGCACGTCGCTTACTAAGACGCCAAGAGTTAGGTTCATGGTATCTATCATATAGCGGTTCAATACGTTCTTGACGCTTGCGCTTGCTCATCTTGGTGCCAGTTCCACAAGCCATTTGGGGTCGACGACCGTCACCTCGCGCATGTACTCCTTTGTGGTCATAACCAGCTCATGGTAGATCACCCAATCTGGTTGTCCACTACTACAAAAAACGAAATAGACGACGGGGATCCACCGTCGTTGTAATGCTTTGAAATCCGTCGTTAAATCAACCGCCGTCTATTTGGGTGTCAAACTACGACGGCTTTTCACCGTCGTTGTTTATCTGTAAAGACGACGGTTTTTAAAGAAAATCGTTGGTGTTTAAAGGTAAAGATCGTTAATTATAGGATGAAAGACGACGGTTTTAAAAACCGTCGTGTATTGTATGTAAAGATGACGGTTTTTTATGAAAACTGTCATCTTTACATACAATAGACGACCCTTTTTAAAAAAAAACAGTCATCTTTACTTCACAATAGACGACCCTTTTAAAAAAAAACCGTCATCTTTATATATAATAGATGACCCTTTTTAAAAAAAAACCGTCATCTTTACATATAATAGACAACCCTTTTAAAAAAAAACA